AGTTTCAGATGTTAAATAGATAGAGGTAACATTTAGTGTTTCTGTAGACGTCAGTTTAATGTTCGTAGCAGTACTGTGCACAGATGAATGTACCCCAGCGAAGCATGCAACGTGTTGGAAGCCAGAGAAATTCAAGTTCAAACTATTTTACTAATGACATGCCAGTAAATACGACACACTAGCGGTACAAATTGTCAGAAGATTGCTGTTGTTATGTGCTGGCAAAACGATTCTCTTGGTTTGTTTTCAAAATTTCGAAATTCAATATGCTGGATCAAATATCTTTTTGCTACGCAGATATATTTTGCCAAAACAGAATTCACTACCCCAAAATACCTTTGTTTTCCCGTTCTGCCTTCATCAATTCTAAAGTGCTATAAGGCAGCTTTTTGACATTGTTATTTTACAAGATTCTTTCATTCACTGTTTCTGCACCTGTCTTCATCTTTCAAAATGCATTTCACTCCATAATGATGTAGTTGCATGCGCAAGTGAATATGTATATAAATAAATATGTAAACTTTAGCATAGAACACATTATCTTAATGATAAAACCCACTGAATATTCCTGAAATAGTAAATCAGCGAAATTTCAACCCAGTGAAAATTAGTCACTTTACAGTATCACATGTTTAATTGAAACATCTGATTTTAATATGATCACATATACAAAGCATAATTTTAAATGACAATAAATCCTGTCTACAAACAAGCTGCTCTCTGATTAGTCAGATTGTTAGGTTTTTGGGTTGGATAGCCAATCACGATCTTGTAGGTAGCTTCTCGTTGATTCCGTACATATGCTTTTTTTACCATCACAACGCTAGAGGGCGTAATAAAGCACCCGAGTGCCAGTGGTGGTTGGTGTCTTTAGTGGAGATGAATAGCATAACGTATGTAACTTATTATCATCATGCTGCAACCATTTTATTTCTGGATATGGGTCTACAAACAATATAAAATGGTTATCCGGTATTGCAATGCCACTGGCTGTTTTTAAGTGCAATCAGAACAAATCTAGAGAAATATAGACTTTAAAAATATGACGTGCACACGTAATTATTAATGCTAGTATTTGTTTTAGTCCCTGGTATTTTGTGAAAAGAATAATTACAACTGTACATACAGTTTTGCACACTACGATGACGGTTATTCGATAATTCACGATTGTCAGGTTCCATGGGACATACATTTAGTTCAGAACGTTCTACAAGTTCAATAAGCTTTACGTTTCTCTTGGAAGAATTTCTGGAACTTTTTCGAACTAAGATTATTGATGATGTCATTCCTCAGTGATCCTTTAAAAACAACCGACTCGAAGTGCGCCCGCGCGCGTTCAAACATTGAAAGAGTTAGGAGTTGAAATGGCAACATACTCAGAACAGTGGTTGACCCGTTGTGTCGTCACAGGAAGCGCTGTCCCAGCACAGACCTGTGTCATCAATCTCCCAGGCAGAGTTCTATTCAATCTCCAGGCAGAGTTCTATTCCTCGAATATATCTCTGCCACCACGCGATCTTATGCTTGTCGTTGATTGGTCGATGCGTCACAGTGGCACTACTTTCAAAGGCGCCCAACAAAACATTGCCATGCAAGTGTTCGATTTTCGAATCCGACGAATGTGTACGCGTTGTTTGCAGATTTTGACTGTTTTCAAAAATAGAAGATTTTTTTTTTCTTTCTGTAACACAAACGGTGTGGCAGTAGGACGATTTAGTCGTTAATACTAGGAAGTGCTTTCGTAAGTTTGTAATTCGTTGCCTGGCAATCGACAGGACGGTCAGTTTGATGAACCGAGTAACACCTTGGCAACGGTTATTACGCAAGGAATTATTTTGTTTTGTTAGTTATAACTATTTCACCGTTTTCGGTGCGTTTGCAAAAAAATCATTATCAGCTATCGATGAAATCTTTTAAAACTAGTTTATCAGTAGGAATAAATCAACACAAGATCCGGCTCCCTCTCATAACAAAAATACGCAAATAATTGGCGTAGTAAAAGTCTTGTGGTGTTTCACCACAAAATGGCGGTGTGTGGTGGCAGAGATACTTTCGCATCCTGCGTAACAAGGGTCACGCGACATCCGTGGGACCGATGGTAGAGAATGATACTTTCGGTGATCTAACCGCAAGGAACTCTGGGAAGGAGAATGCTGTGTCATATGACGCCTTACTAGCCGATTTTGGCTAACATAGCGCTCCGCCACCTCTTTACACTAGTTTTTATACACGGAACTTGATACTTCTTTTTCCAATTTAAGTTGCTTGTTAATCGCGTATTGTAGTGAAATATTGTTTAGTGGATGAAATGTTAATGTCATAAATATTTCAAGCTTGTAAATAACAGAAACTAACACATGATAACGATAATCAGAAGTTCGAAAGTACATGTGTAATTTCCGGTTTTAACGAGTTCGAAAATAGAACGTCATTGAACGCGATAAAATCACGAGTAGAACTCCTTCCGAACTAGACACTAGCAGTGTAAATTTGCGCAATTTGGGTCCTGTTTGTTCTTACAAATTTTCTAAGTTTCATTTATCATTATTTAGTAAACAGGTCTCTGAAACGATTTAATATATCCGTAAAATATGTGACAATCGACGATTGACTTCGAAACGTTCGAAATTTCGAACAAACTCCCGGCACACCTTGCGCGATATGCGTCAGATCGGTGTAGAAGGCGCCGACCTGCAGCGTCAATGGTGGTTAACCATTACTTTCTATGTCATGATGTAAAACCTAAGAATATAGCGGGTAAACCTTAAATAACAAATAACTGCGTCACTGACCGGTAAAATGCATTCTAGGAGATGAAGGTAGGAGAAGAAATAGTGAGGCAAGAAATTTTGTAAATAACAATTTTAAAAGGCAGTCTTATCTCTGTAAAATTAATAAAGGCAGAACGGGAAAACAAATGTATTTTTGGTTACTGAATTCTGTTTCTATGGCAACATATACCTGCATATTAAACGGATCACAAATAATCTGATCCAGCTACTGAATTTCGCGATTTTACATAAAACGAGCGAATCGTATTGCCACAGCACACACCAACTACGATGAATCTTCTGACAATTTGTATCGCTCTCGTTAGTGTATCGTATTCACTAGGGTGCCAATGTTCCAATGATTTGAGGTTGACTTTCTCAGGCTTGCAAGTCGCATGCTATGCTAGCGAACAGTCATATTCACTCGCTACAGCCCCTGACGTAAAATTGCCGACTGCAGATATTGTGGGTATCACCTCTTGTGCTATATAACAATGTGTTGAATGTATGACTCAATTTGGCCTTTTGGTTTTCGAGAAATTATGCTGTATCTATGCATTGTGTAATTTCATATTATATTTTAATACGTATTTTGAGCAATAATAGATTGTCAGAGGTAAGATGTTTTTTTTAAATATAGTTATTAAGTAGGTACTTCAGTTGTTATATATTTGACTGTTGAAGGCGTGATATTTATCTGCAATATTTTATCAGCTTGAATTAGCTCAAGGCAGCAATATAACTATGTAAACGCATTTTGTACGAGTCGATTTCGAGGGTTGAAAATCGATAGTACTGACTACCAACATGTTTCTGACCGTATGTATGTTTTGTGTGCTTTGTGGCCTTAACGTTATTCTTTTTTTTTAATTCTAGCGTATCAGTAGTGGACATCATTTGTTCTTTCTCGCAATGTCTAGACAGCTGTCTGTACAAGTTCCATATTGTTCCTTTAAATCGGTCACCACTAAATCTTAAAGACATTATCTTAAACAAATGTTTTTGTGTAAATCTGCTAGCATTATACACCCTGACTATAAAGAAGCAAGTGAACGTACATATAAAATCTTGGAGGATGAGTTCTGTTAATTGCTCGATTATACACATAATGGCATCTCGACATATAACAAACAACTATATCAATAACGAAAACATAAAATTAAACAGGCTTTTTTTTTCATAATCAGGATACTACTTTCAAACTCAATGGGTGGGCATGCTAAATAGGCTATATAACTTTGAAAACACATCAGTGTTCACATTTAAATAGTTGGCATTGGCAAATTACGAAATATGAAGTTCCATACGCATACTTAAGCAATGGACAATACTATATACGCAAGCCACATTTATTTCTTTGCAGCATTAAGCAACACAATAAAAAATGCTTAGAAAGAACTCCTGTGTGCTGAGGGTAATAGAGATCCAATAATCGACAATATTTCAAATTAACGTTTTAATATTAAGAAACACGTCTCATATATCACAACAATAACACTGAGTTTCATGGTTGAGTAAACAGGTGAAAACATTTACGAATATGTACAATATTTGATATATTGCAGAACAGTCGTTTTTTATTTATTTCCTAACACATTTTTTTTTCTTAAATTACAGTCCGCAATGTATACTCTTGTAATGCGAGATGTAGATGCGCCAGGAGGCAATTGGTTAAACTGGCTAAAAGGAAATATCCCTGTAAGGAATTCTACTTGAATATGTTATTAACCCTACCGTAAACCACACATCTCACATAGCACAATGTTGTCACAATAACACTATAAAGGGTAATTCTTTTGTTGTTTGAAAAACAGAACTGAACATATCCAGAAATATATTACAGATAATTTATAACGTAATGTAATATTAATGTAATGATTATTTTCATAATTATTACAGAAAAAAAGATATTTCTTTGTATTCTCTATAGTTTCATATGTCATGAATTATAACTTGCACAAGTTGAATGAAATTGAAAACTATATAGTTTATATAACTCATGTTTGTACAATAACTTTAATAAATGAGATTTTACTAGGTAAAAGTACTGTATTTAACTTGGCATAAAAGCGAAATAATTTCATAATATCGAAACGAATAGCCTTTATCATAGAATCCCATTGATTTAGACTGACAAAAATGAAGCATTGTTATCAAGTTAATTAATGGATATCCAGGCTTGAGGTTATTGCTTCCATTATTATTAGATTAGATTTCTTTCTTACACAAAAACAAAGCTGCCCCATCGTGGCTCACATCTTCATTTAGTTACATTTGGTGAAAATAAATTTGTGATTTTGAAGATTTGTGATGATTTAACTGTGATTCATGTCCGCATTCCTCGCAAACATATGTTTTTGACTGTTTCTCGAACAGATGTAATAGTTTGTTTTAGTATTTCAACTTAGCAAAGTTCTAACTTGAACTTGTAGTTGTAGCGAATTTGCTCTGTTAGTAGCGTCTGTGTTTCAGTGAATGATAGATGTGTCTTTCCTCCTTAAAAAAATAGATAAACACACACATAAACCATACATGTTTTTAACACAAAAATCAATCATTCTTATTGCTCATTGTTTCTCATTTGCAGGGCGATAGCCTTTTGTATGGTCCTAGTGGCGGTGTTGACATTGGAGGTAACACATTGCTCGTACTGTATTCATAGTATGTTTGTGCCATGCCATGTAACACTTTATAATAGCCTTTATTGTTTTTACTGTTGTTGTTGTCTTCTTCTTATCTCCCATAATCGATAAGACTCCTTTTATTTCAACAGGATTTTCGTATATGAAACCAAGTCCACCTACTCCAAATCAATTCGAAACGCTCATTTATAAACAACCAAGCACTTCCACACCATTTGTCTCAACATCCAGCCGATTATCTTTTGATCTTGACAGTTTTGTGGCAGCGAACGGATTGGGTGGTGTAATTGCTTCTCATTGTTTCGTTGTATATCCATAACATTGTGATTAACAATATTAGAACATGCCCGTATTACAAAATGTCGGCATACCAATAAAATAATTAAACGTGCATAGTCTTTGGTATACTTCTTAACATTAACCTACATTTTTTCTCATTATCTGCTGTGCTACCATTTCTAATTAGATTGCTTATAGAATGACGCCACTAAACATTACGGCATGTTGCTCAATGTACTAGTGTCAGGTAAATATCAAGGCTTAATTATCGTGTTATTAAACTAATGCTGAGGTACCAGGGTCCGGGGAATTCGCCACCTTTTTACTGAACAAAACACACAGAGAATGGAATCGTGTCACTTCTAATCTCGGCCTAGTAGGAACTGTTCCAAGGTTGGCTCGCCTCGTCTTCCAGCACTCACGACAGACCAAGACCTCTTTATTCACTTCTCCAACAGCCAATTACAGAGGAGTTTAAGAGCTTAAGGCGTAGCCTCTATACATTCAATTCGCATATAGCCAATTCGCTGACTCAAGTTCCGTCTAAGACCTCCATGAGCCTAAATGGTGACAAGTTATGGGAATGTGTTGAATGATATTAACCAGCTATAAACTAAAACAGTTATCAAGTCGTATCAGTGACCGATCCTTTAGACACATGGAAATAAATGATGACGTAAACAACAAATTCAAATTGGATGATGAAGTAATCCAGTACAAAAAAGTTACATATAACAGAGACGTTCCTGTTGTCAAAGTAAAAAGACGAAGGCAGTAAAACAATAATGATACAACTGATTTAAAGATGCATTACCATTTTGTATGATCTGCAGAACAAATCCGGGAATGTAACTTCTAATCTGCGTACATTCTTGGTATTTGATGTTCAACGATCTGATGTTGCATCATGTTTTAGTACATGAAGACGCAATTAATATTATGAAATGAAACGGGCTTCATTAACTAAATATATCTATAATTCACTTGTAGACTCATGACAGTCGCCACTGAATATACATTTGTTTTCCATATTTTTTTATGGAAACCCTCATTGCAGAAAACTACGGACTGTGGCGTTAAGATGAGATTGTCGTACACGAATGCACATATTGTACCATAGTGTTCCATCAAACGAAAGTGATTTTGATGATGAGCCAGCTTGTTGACCGCTGAGAAAGTTTGTCTTCATATCTCCTTTCGATTTTACACTTTCATCAGGTATTTTAAAACTGCGGAAATCGATCGATATTAAATACTTGGATAAAATGTTTGTTCAACAAATGATTGGTATCTGATCTGATCTACTCTTCTATTGTAGTATTCATTTTCTGAGATAATCACACATTTATTTTTAAAATCTACATCTATTTATTGTTTGCTATCATGATGGCATTCATCGATATAACTTATGTCAACCACATACTACCATGGTTGTCGATCTAATATCATGGTTAATAACATTTGTTATCTTGAAGTGCAACAATGACCTAACATTTATACATTTATTCGTAGGTCAAACATTTATTTGTGCCTAACTTTCCGGAATACAAAATGATATTCCATATTTCAGCAAATTACAACCTGATAAAAGGTATCATTTTATGTAGATAACTTGTAGTTTTCTTCCTGTGTGCAATATATTAAAAACCTAATAATGAACGTTTATTTCTAGCATCACAATCTAAAATGTGCTCAATACAGGTCGACATAAAAGTGTAATAACAATTTCAGTGTGATTATACATAGAGAGAGATGGTTATCTACATAAGAAACGTCTTGATATATTTTACATCGGATCTGAAGCTGGTACTGTATTCAATAATCATTATCAGTATTCATTAGCAAAAAATTACTGAATTAAAATAATAACTGTAATTCTAGCTAAATAACCAAATATCAGTTTAATTTACAAAGAACACATTTATTAATCGGTGACGAATCCAATGGGTCTTTGAGACTTACTTTTAATATTTATTTATATAAACAAAACGGGGATTATATTTGTGATTACTGAAGGATTGTTGCTATGGTTATATGTGCCTGCGTATGATAAATATAACAAATAAGCCGATTCTCGATACGTCATTCTAAAATCCACTGCGCCACACCCAATACATCGACATTTCAACAGTTCAAGCCTTGGTCAGCAAGAACGCTATCAATGAAACTTGTTATATAAATTCTTTCGAATAATGTGCATATTAATTAGGTGTTATACATATTACCATACTTCCAGGAGCACAAGGCCAGGGGCCTCAACATGTAAAATTGTTCAACATTGTAATTCTTTATTAAACCTTGTACCCATGTCCCCCTCGAAAAAAATATCCGAATTTCGTGCACCATGTGACAGATTAGAAAGAATACGTCTTTATTGGAAAATTAAAATTCTGTAAATGCGTGCATTTTATTGCAATATTCAGTGTAGTCCACATTTCAAAACAGTTGGTAAACGACCTATACCTATACTGCATACAATATTCCAGCATTTATATTTGCCCACTCAGTTTTTCAATATTCTTTCTTTATATAATTGAAGCAGAATGACTTCATTTTTCATAGATATGCTCATACATTTATTTATAATACTCCAGTAAGCAAGAAATTATCCTGAATAATACCAGCTCAATACACTCTTCTTCTTTCAGTCGGCATCGAACTCTACGAATGTCGAGAGGAGTCTCTGTGGTGTCATCTGGCGCTGGCCTATGTCACTAAATCTCATAGAAATTGATGTCATCATTAGGAGTCAATAGTAATAATTAATTAATTTCAGATCAGTACATGTTTAAATGTAAATTATGTTTGTACACAAATAATTAGATAGTTGGCAGAGCTAAGATGATATATTTTGGTTCATCCTTTGTACGTATATGTAGTTTTGACATAATGTTTTAAAATAACGAATAATATGGTAATATTTAAACAAGACGCCCTGAAATACATCTCGCCGGGGGCGTTCAATGTGCTGTAAACACCTTAACCAGATATATAACAGCCTCCTCCTCCTCTAGATGTCACAACATGAAAGTGGCAACCTCTTGATTTATCCCACCCTTGTCAGACCTACGGTCGCCCCTGAAAACAATACGCGACCATTTGTGCCTATGGGCCGCAAGGGATTGTGAACTGAACATGCAAAATTTCTTGCCGCCGCCACAGTGTATGCACAGAGCCAGCAAATTTAACTGTACAGAAATACACATGAACAGAAACAATTTTCCTTGAGTACTAAATGCGACAGTTCCCTCATTGCCTAGGCTGATTTGAATTGTGAACGTACACCACCTTCAATATACCACACCTGGCACATATCTCCCGAGAGGGGGGGGGGGTAGTCAAGAAACAGTTTCACTGAAGTACTGCAAAGGACTGAATTGTTGTCGACCAGCTGCAGTGCCCTGAACAGCAATCACGGCTTACATCAAAATCTTAGAAACACACTGATACAGTCAATACGTAAAGCAAGAAATAGCCACAAACATATTAAAAAACCAAAACACGTATATAAATACTTGTTTATTATTTGCTCCATCTAATCGACAGTAGAATGAGATGAATCAACGATATAGTCCGCCATCTTTAATTAATTTTATATTGGATACAACCATTACCTTACGGAGGAACCAAGACATAACTTGAGGGGAGTTAATACCTCTGATTTTTAAAATGCCATGATCAATGCGAGTCTAAATTACAGAGTAACATTTATTTTTCCGACGATCATTGAATACATTAGGCATGCTGAACGTATCTCATTTCGGTCAAATTAATAGTTCAGACTTAATTGAATCTGAACATAACAGGCCAATTATATCAGCCCTTGCTAGACTCAAACTTCCATCCAATCAGAGAATTCCAAATTAAAAATGACTCTGTAAAAGTTCTAGATGGCGCTACAGCCAAACATTTGTCTTTGTTTACAAAATTGATACTAATAGTAGGGACAAATTACAATTAAAAAAAAGAATTCAGATTCACCTTCAAACCATATTATTTATTCCCATAGAATCAAAGGTATGTGTGACCAAGGACATAGTAACTGCGTTGGATATTGTAAGTCTCAATGTAACTGTACGGGGTCCGTGTTATGTCACAATGACATTCGAGCTTTGGAATTATTTTCACATATGGTAAATTTCTTTCTAAACCAACATTTTCTATTTTGCTTCTAGGAAAGAGGGACTAAACAGCAAAAATACATTATTTATAAAAAAAATACCACAATAACATTTTTTTAGAGAAGTGAAGTTGGTGATTTCTACTTAAAGTGCCAATATAAGCCGTTTTGGGCTGTTTCTGTTTATTTGCCAGGGCGTTCAGGATCGATTAGTCTCTTAAGATGCGCGTGCTAATAATGGTATGTTATTGAGATTAAGATGTTTCTTGTAAATATTTCATCGCCCAATTATTAATCGAAAGCATTGCGTATGAGACACTGCAACCACATAATTCCGTCGACGATGTGTAGGCTATCCATTGTGGTAATTAGAAGACTGTACTAGCTCCAACCTTACCAAACTGATCGCTCGATTTAACAGGTCTTTTGGCTTTTTATATTAATAGAATATCTGAATATTCAATAGCCACTAACGGTGGCTGTTCCGGCTCAATTCGTAAATATTTTCCTTTATTGCATTTCTACTGAAACATTGACTTCCAGTATATAACATATGTTGGCCACTCTTCAACTAAACACCATCATGTCGCCCTCTAGTGATGGAACGTGTATCACATATTTACGTCACGGAATCGTTTCGTCACTAGACTTTTAGAAAAATGTATTTTGTATGGACAATCAACTTGAATATAGGCAACTTGAATCTCTCTTATGTATTGTACACACAACAACAACGTCAACAATATCATCATCATCATTAAAATGTCTATTATGTTGGGACTAATTTGCTCTACATGGACATTTATAAATAGTTTACAAATTTCAAATAGCAACCTATGACACTTGATCAATACACGCCTATGTATACTTTTTCTGCGTTTATTAACCTTTCTTTTTATACTCGCTCGCTTTGCCAAACAGTAATACGCTGCTCAATTTAATATTCCGCGTCAAAAGATAATGTCACTACTTGCATGTTTTTGAAATCCACTCCAACGAGCTAATTACTGCAATGTTAACACATTTTAAACACGTTTGATCTAGAGTTATGGGTAATGAGCGTTACCGGTAATCGGTACTTTTATTTATCAACACCGCAGTCTAAAGCAACAAAACTTTAATCTGAAATAGTTATCACTGAATAGTTTATTTTACATTATGGGTGTTGTATGTACCAATATATTTTCTTTCAGTTAAAATTTGCGCTTCCTTTAAAACGAAGGAATCTCCGAGCTGGTCGTGATAGGAACAAAATACGTGTATGTAAACCGAACATGCAAATTGTAAGTGCTTAACTGGTGTTAAACTAACAACGAGTTGAATATTGTGCTGTTAAAACCGTTCATGAGCGGTAAATTCAAATACTGTTCCAGCTCTACTGGCATGACATCATAGATATTATATTTCCATTGGAACTGTTTGTACACTACCGTACAAAATCACCATTCATACAAAGCTACGACATTTCCAGTACAAGCTTACTATAAAATATTTGCCATCTAATCAACTTCTGTATACATGGAATCTCGCCGAGTCTCTATTATGTTCCTTTTGTGGAGAGGTTAGTTAAGACCACTATCACTTATTTTCGGATTGTAGATTTACAAATACGTTTCGGAACTTAGTTAGAAAATAGCTATCCTTGTTCACAGAATTAATTTTCTCATTAAGTTCTACAAAGTGTATAGATCAATGCTTAACTATGTCCTACTTATAGGTCGTTATTATATGTTTAAGTGCAAGTTACAACGTAATCTGTCAAATATTGCAGGTTTTAAACCCTTGTGTAAAATATATCTTTGATTTGGAAAATATCATTGCGAAAGCACAAACCAGAAAAACAAAGTTCGTAAAGAAGTGGGGGCTTTTATTAAATATTATGATCTGTAATTGTGTTTTATGTTGTTATTGGCCGTAATCTGTAGTTGTAACTTTTGCATATTGATTATTATATTATACCAGTATATTGATGGTGTTAATTAATTGATTTGATTGGTCCAAACACAAAATTTGCATATGCAATCCATGGTATATTGGCTGATAATGCACGGCTAAACCAAGTGGCCCTGGAACATGAATTGACTACAGGTTTAATACGGAAATACATAAAACCGGTATTATTTGATTTTTAGGGAAATATAGTGGTTGAATTTTGGAAGAATGTTGAAAAAAATACTGAATTAAAAACATCTGAAAAGTTATATAACTATAATATTGCTTTTTGTTAATG